GAATTACCGTCTGCCTGTGTCACATAATCAGTTGATCCTTAGATAGAGTGAGATAGAGTGGTGAGTCCCTTGTTGACTAATTTCACCCTCTGAAGCCCCTACTTATTGAAATTATAAGGCCCATTGGCTTAAGATTTCTCTCCTTTCAGTGGAGCCTTACCACTCTGTCATCTTCGTTAATGTCATTTACTTATACTGTTGACTCATCTCCAGACGTCCTTATTGAATGATTGCTTTTGTCTCTTAATGGCATTCAGCTTCATAACAGCTGTTGTTGACAGTAAGTTCCTCAGCTGATTGTTTTTGCAGGTAATTTAAGCCCTGGGAGCCTGCAGAAGTTCCCATCCCTGCCTCCCCTATCACTTCAATCTAGTTAAAATAACACAGAAAATAACTCTTTGACAGTGTTACTAGGAGCAAGATGTTGTCCATGAACCACCTGCATCAGCATCAGCCTAGACCTTCAAAATTTTTGAGGGTGAGACCAGAAATACTTTGGAGGTTTTCCCCCCACATGTTCTCCAGATCATTCTGATTCATAGCAAAAACTGAGAACTACTAGTATAGGAGATAGTGTAAGTCAGAAAGGCCTTGGGTAGTTTACTTCATCTTTCTAAGCTTTTATGTCTGCACTTGTAAATAGGAATTATAATACCTGTCTTGTTATGTGAATTCCAAATAATGCGTTTAAATCCTCTCAAGCCTCTAGTGCAGCATTTCACTAGTGTTCTGTAAATGCGATGGTGCATATGAATATTGTTACTGTTGATAATACACTGTGTCCAGGTGTAGATGAATTAGGAGAACCAGTTTCAAAGTATTTCATCTTGTGAATTGAAGCTCTGTGAAGCTTGTAATTACAGAAAATGGCACAGTTTAGTAGTTACGAAGATGAGCTTTAGTGCTCATAGTCATTTTTATTTTTATTATTCCATACTTCCAATATTGCAATATTGTGCCTTCACCTCTTTTAAGATTTTTTTCCCCTTAAGGTTATTATTTTAAGAAAAAATATCTACTTTTAATGCCAAATAAGTGTGTAAATAAAATATACAAAATTCTCACAACTAATTAGCATGTTATCTTTTTTGTTTAGGTTAGGGTGATTCTAATTGGTTTGGAAACGGAACAATGAAAATGGTTTCTGATACATTATTTCCTGACTTTTTTTGTGCTCAAGTCTTGCTTTAAAAGCACTATATGCAAATATAAAATGCTAAAATAAAATATTTTACAAATTCACCTGGATGTAGTTATACTGAGGAATATTAAATAGTACTCAATATTATCAGTTTTCATGATAAACAGTTTAGGAGCAATTATAAACAAGTATCACTAAGGCCGTAGAAAAAATTTTAGAAGGAACAGCAGGCAGATGTCTATTACTACTCAGCTGTGGAGTTTTATCATCTTTTAAGTTTATCTTTTTTTAATAATGTTTCTTAATCATTTGAAGCTGAGGTATGTGAAACATCTTTTTCTCTAGCAGTGCTTGATAATTGACACAATAGAAAGCTCTTCAATTTTGTGATGTTTTAGAAATTAAAAATTATTTTGTAGTGTTTATGAAATACATATTTTACATATAAAATTCAGTCATTTTAAATACTCCCAAGCTCTCTTGACATATTTTCCTTCATTGTACCTATGTGGAAAAGCCACCGTCTTGGTTAGACTGAGTTATCTACACATTATGTGCCAGCACCCAAATGCCAAACATGATAGATGAGTAACATCTGACTGATGGCTGGCCTCACATTAAAGTGGTGATAACTGCGTGGTTATCTTCATATCTTTCGTAGAATGTTTGTTGTTCTCTCAAAATGGCAGTTTCCCTCCTTGTCCTCTCTCTGTTCTCCCTTAACCTCAGTGTGCTTTCAGTTTTTGCCTGAGTTCTTTAAGGAAATAGTTGAGTAAATTTACTCAACTGTGTGCTTTTATTCCTAAACCCCACCTTTTCTTCTATAGTATGAAAGAAGGATTTCTCTTCCTACCCAGTCCAGCTTCTCCATTTCTGCTTCAGATTCCACCTCTTTCTGCTCTTGCATAGTATCCTCCCCTTTCTTATGTGAGGAGTTTCTCTCTCTGGATTGTTCCTGTCAACAGAATGTGCTTTTCTGTTTCTTGCCTGGAAGTATAGTAGAATCCTTTCACTCTACATGTCTCTCTAGCTATTGACTACTTTTTATAGTACCTTATTCAAACTGGAAAGAATTGCCTGTAGTGGCTGCTCTGTTTCCTCATGTCACATTCTTTCCTCAGCAGACTGCATTTGTTCTTCTGTTATAATTCCTTGAAACTGCTCTTCTTGGAGTCAGTAATTGTCTTCGTGCTGCCAAATCTATTGCTATTTTACTGCTCTTCTTTTACCTAAAGTTGACTGTCTCTTTAGATTTTTCCTTTAAACTCTCCTTTTGCATTGTCTTTCCTCATCCATCATTGACAGTTTCTGTTAGTTTCTTTTATTAACTCCTCTTCTGCTTTGAGTCTAAATTTTGAAATACCCCAGGCCCTTTTCTGGGCTTCCAGTTTTTTACATCCACATGCTTTTCTTTTTTTTTTTCTTTGAGACGGAATTTCGCTCTCGTTACCCAGGCTGGAGTGCAATGGCGCGATCTCGGCTCACCGCAACCTCTGCCTCCTGGGTTCAGGCAATTCTCCTGCCTCAGCCTCCTGAGTAGCTGGGATTACAGGCACGCACCACCATGCCCAGCTAATGTTTTGTATTTTTAGTAGAGACGGGGTTTCACCATGTCAACCAGGATGGTCTCGATCTGTTGACCTCGTGATCCACCTGCCTTGGCCTCCCAAAGTGCTGGGATTACAGGCTTGAGCCACCGCGCCCGGCCCACATGCTTTTCATACCACCTCACATACCATTTGTTTGCTCAAATGACCCAAATCTGTACTTTGAGCCCTGACATATCTCAAGAACTCCTAGTGATAGAGCTAATATCCTAAAAGCCTCCACTTGGACATTTTATAGGCATTTCAGATTCTCTTGACCAAAATAACATCTTTGATTTCCTTCTTACGGCCTATTCTGAAACCTTCGTCTATGTCTTTTTTCGTCTCAGTACGTCACGTCATCATCTAATCAGTATTCTGTAATTCTACTTTTTAAATCTATCAGAAGTGAATCTAATTTTTTCCCCATCACTACTATATAGTATGTAGTAAGAGACTGGTTAAGAGCTGGTTCTGGAGCCAGACTGCCTGGGTTCATATCCCAGGTCACCATGTGCAGTTTCTGTGACCTGGAACAGGTTACTTAATTTCGTTGCACTTCAGTATTCATATTGGTAAAATTGCAATAATAGTGTCTACTTCATACTTCATCCACTCTGAAATTACTGGAGCAATGACTAGGACACTGCAAGTACTTTATTCATCTTTAGTGTTACTATTCCTGCTCCATTATCCTAGTGCAAGCCTCCATCTTTGCTTCCTGCTGCACTAACCATCTACTGTAATTTTGTTTTCTATACCTCTGTGCTGTCTTTACTCACCTTTCCCAAATCCATTCTAACCCATTCTTCATACAGTAGACAGAATGATCTTTTTCAAGTGTAAATTATGTAATATTACTGTCAGGTCTAGAACAATCTGAGAGCCTTGTGTTGATTACATTGCGTAAACTTCAGACTTCTTTCCCTGGCTTACAAAACCTTAAATCTAGCCTTTGCTGACCTTTCTTAACCTCATCTCATATCTCACTGCCTTTTTCCAACTATGCCCTAGCTGGATTGTTATTTTCTTTGCACAGAGTTAAGTCATACCCTCCTTAGGGTCTTTGTACTATTTGTTTCCTGTGCCAGGAATATACCCTCCCTTGTACTCATTCAGATCTTCACTTAAATGTCACATTTCAGAAAGGTCTTCATTGACTACCCAACCTAAAGACACACCCCTTGACAGTCTGTCTCTACCTCATCTCATTGCCCTTTCATTTTAAGCCTCTGCTCGGAACTTAACACTATCTTTGTATTTGTTACCTGCTTTCTCCACTAGAATGTGAGTTGCAGAATTCTGTCTCTGTGCTGTGTGAATTTAGACTGTATCCCTAGCTCATAGTATAGGATAGCATTATCATAAAGTCATGGCAAAATATTTAAGAATGCAGTTGCCTTTAATTTGATTTTATCTGCCAATCTGTAATACATTGCCCTGTATGGACCCAAGTTCAAGAAAGCAGTGCCTTATCTCACCTTCTTATTCCTTAAGCTGTATTCAGCTCCAGTAACTAGATTCTTCAAGTACATGGTCGAGTTTTCCCTGATCTGTCAAGCATTGAGTTAACTTACCATCTGAGGATAAAAGATTTGATAAAGGGCCAAGGGCAGGGGCTCATGCCTGTAATTCCAACACTTTGGGAGGCTGAGAGGGAGCAGATTACTAGAGATCAGGAGCTCGAGACCAGGCTGGCCAACATGGCAAAACCTGTTCTCTACTAAGAATACAAAAATTAGCCGAGTATGGTGGTTCACGCCCGTAATCCCAGCAATTCGGGAGGCGGAGGCATGAGAATTGCGCTTGATCCTGGGAGGTGGCGGTTGCAGTGAGCCAGGATCACACCACAGCACTCCAAAAAGAGAAAAGATTTGATAAAAGTTCTAGTTTGGTTTAGATTTGTTGTAGCATGATTCTTAACTATCAAAATATTCTCAAATCAGCCAAATGGATTGCCTAGGTACTACTTAACAGATGAGAAAAACGGGTAATATAGAGCTTGATACCTGACCAGAAAATTAAGATTTTTCAGCTCATTTTCAGTAGTTAACTTGTAAGTTGACAGTAACCATATTGTTTTACTTTAATTAAATAAATGTGTATTTTATGTAAGTAGCTACAGAAGTTTCTGTGATTTTATTGGGTTAGGGTTAAAGGGGAGAATTGCGACTTAGCAGTAATGAAAGGCATGTGGATGGATCTCTGAGATGAAGAAAAACAGTACAGGACACTGAAATATGAGACATCTTTTACCCTAATGCTGGAAAAAATTTAAAATAGCTTCTTTATTTTGAGCTACAGCATGGACAGCACCAACAACACAGTACCCTGCAAGGATTTCTTTTTTTGTATTTTACAGCTAGTCCAAATTTCTCTTTAGTATTGTTAACATACTCCTTTGTATCATTCATTGTCATTTCAATATTGTTGATGCTCTCTCCTTGTTCCTCTACTAAAAGAGAGATCTGAATGAAAAGATCCCTTAAATCCTTTATTTGGTTCTCTAAATTAACAAGTTCTTTGTGCCTCTGTTCAATCTCTGAAAGTTGTGCTTTAGTGATACTGATTTCTGTAAGTAAGCTTTCATTAAAAACTTCCCATTTTCCTTGATGAAGCATATCATTTACTTCTTCTTCAGTCGTGTCTTTTCCAGCAACTTCAAGCTGACGGAAAATAAATGTCTTGCACTTCTCTTGCTTTGCTGCTATTGTGTCATTGTATATAAACATAGTTTGCTGAAAATGGCGGAACATTGCAGCGTGCTGAAATTTCAGTATCCTTGTGACCACTGATGATGGACCATTTTCACCCTCTGACTTTTTAACTTCTTTAACTAAATCATTCAAACTTCTGTTGATGTATTCTGCTTGGATTTTTATCTCTTTTGTAATGGTAGACTCTCTCTTAAGTAGACTAAACCTTCTCATTGAAGCCACCAGACTTTTCTGTTGCTGCCCAAATTTTTGAACATTGTCTGTCAAATTGTTAATACTTTCCTGTAGTTTTTGAATTTCATGTAGGTGTCTCTCAGCTACAGGCTCTCTTTCATAAATAACAGCTTGTTGCAGAAATACCCCTTGTTCCTCTGTTTCTGCAGTTGATTCACGACTGTCTCTAGAGAGTTCAATTTCCTTTGTTCTCTGCTTTAGTTCTTGAAGTCGGTCTCTCATCTTCCCTTTCCTCCTAAGAAGCAAAAATGATTGTATTGAACAAGTAGAAATTTGGTATTTTTACCCAGGAGCAGTTGACTTCACATAAGTGTCTATATCCCAGCAAAAAGTCTAGTTTTCTCAAATGAGGTTATTAGAAAAATCAACAAGAGGTTCCTCATAAAAACCATTTAAATAGAGAAGGTGGTATAAAATAATTTATAAGTTACTTTGCATATGAGTGCCATTTAGTTGTGTGAAATAGCTGTGAAAGCAGTGATGCAGACACAGTTGCTCAAAAATAAGTTCTTTAGTGTCACGATACTGTCTGCCATAGGATAGGTTTTTTTTTAAATGAAGAATGCTTTTGACTATACCTTCAACTTAAAGGATTAATCTTCAGATGCCAAAAGTGCCCTTCTTACTAAAGATACTGTTTCCAGTTAATTTGGCCAATGTAATTTTAAAAAATACTCATTTTGCTAAATAAGCATCATTCAGTTAAAACCACGATAGTGACAGTACAGATTTTATGTGAGAACTTTAAGCTATATGGATAATGTTGAATTTAAGTTTTCTGAAGCATCGGAATAAAGATATTATTTGGCGTAGTGTTTTGTTTTGTTTTTTTACCTATTGCATATATATGAAAACACTGGTTTGATTACACTGATTTCTCATTCTTAGCATTCTTTTGCAAAGATATACAGACTGTCTTAGAACAAAATTATATCACTTTGTATTAGGTGATACTTTTATAAATATGAGAATATATTTATATAAAATCTTATTTTGGGAGTAATATTGACACTTATCACATCCTGTGTTGATAGTTATCCATAATAATCAAATTGATGTGCATAATTTATATTTAATGTTTAAAATAATATGTAATGACATACATTTATATAAAATGAATGGAATAAAAAGCAGTTAATAAAATACAATTTTCATAGAGTATCTTGATTTTAGAAATATCTTTCATGACGTTTTGAAGATAAGAGGCTGCTTGGGAGGATAAATAGCTAATTGGACCGTATATAATATTAATATAACCTGGAAAAAAACAAGGTCTCTAAATGTCATGCTGTTACGCCGTAGGACTCAGTGTTTGATGTGTTTATGGAAATACTTTCATTAATCTGGATGTTGTCATAGGAGGCATACTTAGCAAATGTGTAGATGGTACAAAATTTGAAGGGATCTTTAGTGTGTTGAAGTACAGGGTAGGGATTCAAAGATTAAAATAGTGTGGAACTTTATACCAAAAATAAAATATTTATAGATGTAAAATATTTCATCTATTTCTAATTATAAGAAAAATATCTTCATATCTACAGAGTAGAAGACCCTTGGGTTCACAATAGTGTCTATGAAAGTATTGGAGATTTTAATTAAGCTCTTTTTTTTTTTTTTTTTTTTTTGAGAAGGAGTTTGGTTCTGTTGCCCAGGCTAGAGTGCAGTGGTTCGACCTGGGCTCACTGCACTTTCCGCCTCTCTGGTTCAAGTGATTCTCGTGCCTCAGCCTCCTGAGTGGCTGGGATTACAGGCACCTGCCACCATGCCTGGCTAATTTTTGTATTTTTAGTAGACATGGGGTTTCACCATATTGTCCAGGCTGGTCTTGAACTCCTGACCTCAAGTGATCTGCCCACCTCAGCCTCCCAAAGTGCTGGGATTACAGGTGTGAGCCACTGCTCTCAGCCTAATAAGCTTTCTATCAGAACTATCAGAATAGTCATTATGCTTTTATAAATAATAGTGTGATGTCTAGATAAACTAAACTCTGCCAACTCTATGCTATTCAGAGCAAATTGCCGGGGTGAGGGGGACTGTGTGAACTTCTGAGCATATTTTGAGATGGAAATTCATAAATTAGGAATCAACAAACTAGCCTGGAAAGGATGAGAATGGAAAACCATACCAAATGGATACTCATTGAAATAAAGGGTAATATTTGTCGTGTAAAAGAGAAGATGTAGGACGTGTATACAGCTATCTTCTAAAACACGAAGGTCTGTATATACAAGTGGGATTAGACTTACTTGGCATAACTCCAAAGGGCAGTGGGTAGAAATTACATGGAAAGAGGTTTGATTCAATGTAAAGAAGACTTTTTAAACAAGTATTGCTGCCGCAAGATGAGATGATTTGCTTCCTGAGGTGTTGAATTTGCCATCACTGGAGATTTTCAAGATGTTCTCTAATGATGACTCCAGGCATCATTCAGGCATGTTACAGAAATGATGCCTGTTTTGGGTAAAAGGTTAAACCAATGTCCTGGTAATATTCCTTTGGTTTTGAAAGACTGGCATTTTGTGAAATAATCATTGAAGTCTACTATATGTAAAGTTCTTAATGCTGTGTAGTATATATTTAACAATCCCTGTCCTTGAGGAATTTACAATTTAGGGAGGGAAGGACAATGTACAATTTAAAAGACAAATGAGATAATTTTACTTTTTGATACAACAACCAGGCAGTGTCTCTCTAAGCAGATATTCAAGCTGTGAGACTCAATGTTGAGAAGCCAGGCAGATGAAGAGCCAAGGGAGTGTATTCTACGTATAGGAGTTGGGGTGCCAAGTCAGTGAATGAGACAGATATGTTTTAGGAACAGAGTTATTGCATAAGAACAAAGTGAATGTAGATAGAAAGGAATGAGAGGAGTAACGTGGGAGTAATGAAGTCAGAAAGGTAGGCATGGACCAGATCATAAAGGGCCAAAGTAAGGAGTTTAGATTTTATTCCAGGCGCAATAGAAGACAGTTGAAAGATAAATAGGATATTGACATGATTTATTTATATGTATATTTTTATATATAATTTAAAAAATAATTAAGCTGAAACAGGACTCCCTATGTTGTCCAGGCTGGTCTTGAACTCCTGGGCTTAAGCCATCTGCCCGCCTTGTCCTTCCAAAGTGCTGGGATTACAGGCGTGAGCCACCAGGCCTGGCTCTGATTTATATTTTTAAAAGATGTTGTTGCTTTCTATATAGAGAATAGTTTTTTTGCAGAGGGAGTGGGAGTAGTTCACAGAAGAGACTTTAATGATAGAGATGAAGTAAATGAGAACCATCAGTATATATTTTTGGAACTAGAAGCAATAGCACTGGATGGTTTTAACCCATCAGTACTTAACACAATCATTTCTTGAAACACTTTGAAGGAACGTATTTCTCCTGCTTTTTTTCTCTTACCTTTTTGGCTCTTCCTTTATCACTATTTTCTTTTTTCTGGCCACTCCTTGTCTCCCCCACCTGTAAATATTGGAATAACTTAGGCTTAGTCTTATTTTTATCTGTCATCAGTTTTCAGTCTCATGGCATTAAATCCTGTTCACTAGCTGATGACCCAAATTTGTATCTCCAGTCTAAGTTGCTGTTAAAAAACTACTTGCCTGACAGCTGCATTTGAATGCCTCTGTCCAAAATGAGCTCATAATCTTCCTGTGAACCCATAAACTGCCCCATCTCTTTTCTGGCAACTCCATCTTTTCAGTTGCTCAGACCAGAGACTCAAAAGTCTTTTTTTTTTTTTAAAGACGGGGTTTCACCATGTTGGCCAGGCTGGTTGCAAACTCGTGACATCAGGTGATCTACCTGCTTTGGCCTCCCTGAGTGCTGGGATTGCAGGTGTAAGCCACCTGCCTGGCCAGAAGTAATTCTCGACTTTTTTTTTTTGTACACTTCGTATGCAAACATAACAAATCTTGTCAACGTCTCTTTCACAATGTATTTGGATCTCGCCACCTCCTACCACCTCCTTGGTTCAAGTCCCTGTTATTTTTTTTTCTGGATTGTTACGGTAATCTCCTAAGTGTTCTCCTTGGTTCCTTTCTGCAGCAGCCACCCCCATCCTGCCCCCACCACAAACCTTAGCTCTTCTATTAACAGCATTCACAGTTAAAATGTAGGTCACATCATGTCATTCCGGTGCCTAAAATCCTTCTTTGGCATTATCTTCCAGAGGAAAAACTAGAGCCCACAGAGCGCCGCTGTGAGTTCACCCCTCCTGTTAGCCCTCCGACCTCATCCACAGCTCTCCCTTCCTCTGCTTCAGTCTCACTGTCCTTGTGGTTCTCACACAAATCCAGCACCATCTGGCCTGAGGGCCTTGCCACTTGAAGTGTTCATTCCCATATGGTACATGATGTATTTTCCCAGCCCAGTCCTTACTGAAATGCTACTCTCTCAGTAAGGATGTTCTTGGTCACGCTATTGAGGACCGTACTGTTTCTTCACTCTCCGACCCTTCCCAGCTTTATTTTTCTTTGCATTTTTCACTACTTAACATACCATGTATTTTACTTAATTGTATTAACTTACTGTCTACTTTCTCCTCCCAGTATTAACTCCGTGAGATCAAGGGTCTTTATTCATTCCAGTACCTCATAGACTTAATATGGGGAGGAGAAAGTAGACGGTCTTTATTCTTTCTCAGCACCTTGATGAATCTCATGTTTACTTGAGTTTTTATGTTGAAATCTTGATATTTTATATTCACTCGAGCCCTTAATATGTGCCAGGCACTGTTCTAAGTGTGTTGTATGTTTTTATAAAAACAAGTATTATCATGATCTCTATTTTGTAGATAATGAAATTAAGATCTTAGCTTTAGTAATTGAACCATGTGGTCAGCTAGTGGTAGAGTTGGGATTGAGATTCTGGCAGTATAGATTGAAGGACTTAACTCTTTACTATAGCAGAGTATGTGTTACTATAGTATAGCCTGCGAGACCATAGTAACTTTACTACAGTATAGTATAGTTTTACTAGAGGAAGCTTCTTCAGTGGTGGTAGAGAGATCTTCTAGGGTAAGTTCTGAAAAGAGGCAATTAGGTCAGTTAAGTGGTTGGGAAAAGAGCCAGATCACAAGGGAGAAATCTGTTTTTGTCAGGAAAAGGTGTTTTATAGATACTAGAAGTTTATTCAGAAACATTCACCATATTTATTGTCATGTAGCTATATTGCTGAGCATTTTAAGTACTGGTGGGAAACATTTAAGAGCCAGTTTTTGTTGCTGAAATGCA